ACTACTACTACTACTACTACTACTACTACTACTACTACTACTACTACTACTACCACTACTACAAACACTACTACTGCCACGGGTATTACTACTACTAGTACTACTACTACTACCACTACTACTACTACTACTACTACTACTACTACTTCTACTGGTACTGGCACTATTCCTCCTACCACTGCGACTACTACTATTATGGACTACTACTAATTCAATTTTTACTATTACGCTTACTACTGAAGCTGCAACAACAACTACTACTACTACTACTACTACTACTATTGCTACTACTACTACGACTACGACTACTACTACTACGACTACTATTACTACTACTACTACTACTACTACTACTACTACTACTACTACGTCGACGACTACTACTACTACTACTACTACTGCTTCGACTATGACGACTTCTACTACTACTACTACTACTGATACTACTACTACTACTTTTACTACTACTGGTACTTCGATTACTACGGCTACTACTAGTATTTAGTACCCCCACTACTACTTTTATTCGTACTACTACTACTACTACTACTACCACTACTACTACTACTACTACTACTACTTCTGCTACTACGGTTACGGCTACTACGACGACGACGACGAATACTACTACTACTACTACTACTACTACTACTACTACTACTACTACTACTACTACTACTACTACTACTACTACTACTACTACTACTACTACTACTACTACTACTACTACTACTACTACTACTACTACTACTACTACTACTACTACTACTACTACTACTACTACTACTACTACTACTACTACTACTACTACTACTACTACTACTACTACTACTACTACTACTACTACTACTACTACTACTACTACTACTACTACTACTACTACTACTACTACTACTACTACTACTACTACTACTACTACTACTACTACTACTACTACTACTACTACTACTACTACTACTACTACTACTACTACTACTACTACTACTACTATCACCACTGCTACTACTACTGCTACTAGCCAGGATGTGCAGAGTGCGATTGAGGATATCATCAGCATCATCCACATCACCCCCCTCAACGTCTTGTATGCCGCGATGTGCTGGGAAAACGTTTATTTTCCTCCGTGACCCCAAATTGTATGATCCACATGGGTTCAACAGGGGCGGTCGGTTTCCCTGCTCAGCGCCTCGCTTGGTTTCCCCCTGGCTGGGCCTCATGCGAGGCCCTCGTCGCCACCGCTGGATGCGCTTCGAAGTTCTGGTCACAGCGCAGCGCAGGAGAGGTCCGTAGAGTAGCGGCATCGGTACCATTTGGTCACCGAGGATCGAATAATCCCGAACCTTACTCGCATAGTGAAGCCGTGACATCGCTGAGATCACAGTTCTTTGCATCAGGGATAATCGATCTGGGCGGCTTGGTTTGATACATCTGTAGGCAAGACCCTTTGTCCTTGATGCTCCTGGCCCTCCCGCCTCAGGTCGCCTTCAAAAGGGTTAGGGGTCCTCTGATCCCGAATCATTCGGTTTCCAGGCCAACCCCGAATTCTGCCCGAGATGTCCGACCGCTCAGGAAATGGAGAAGATTTGGGATGCATTGCTGGAGGGTTATTCGGATGCACCCCCTTATCGAGGATGGACGCCCCCCCCATCGTCTGTCCCAGAGTTGAGCCAAAAATGTTGGGCCCAAGCGACCCCCCCCCCGATGTCGGGGATTGGGGTCGCCGCACCCCTCGTCGGAAAGCTGAGGAGGGGATGAAGGAAGTGGGTGCAGGATGAGGAGGGGATGAAGGATGGGACCAATGCCAAGGTATTGAACACACGTCCACACATTGTTCATTTCCAATTCTTCGAAACATCCTTGGTTTTTTGGGGGCCAAGATCCTTTCATTTCTAATCGTTCCATCCTGGGCCTCTTCCTGGCCACTAGGGGGCCAGGAACAATTAGAAATGAGCAGAATTAGAAATGAGCACGATTAGACATGAAAGACGTGCACTTGGATAGAACCTTGGGCCTCAAGCCCCCTCGTGAGCCTTTCCAGAAACTCGCGCCGCTTCCCCGAGACAGACTGGGGATCGCAAGGTACGGCCGCCTCACGAGGGGAGGATGAAGGGATGAGGGATGATATGAGGAGGAGGAGGAGGAGGAGAGTCGGAAGAGGAAGGGAGCACGGAGGCAGGAGTAGGAGGAAGTGGGATGTTGGGAGATGAGGAGGGGGAAGAGGGAGTGAGGGAGGGATGAGGAGCAGGAGGGAGGAGGGCGAGGTCAGTAATGATGGAGGGGGGGGGCATGGGGGAAGGGAGGAGGGAGGGGAGGGTCAGGGAGGGTGGAGGGAGGACTGGGTTGGACACTTCGAGCGAACACGACTGCGACCTCGCCCCGCCCAGCGGCGCAGGGCTCCCCACCAGCCAACATGGCAGACAACCCAACTTCTGAGAGAGAGAGAGAGAGACGATGCCACTCCAGCAGCCCAACAGCGCCACGTGGCGAACATGGCGCGCCGCGCGCACGTCTGGCACTGCTCGCTGCCAAGCTGCCGCGCGTTACGGCAGTCGTTCAATGCTGAGGGACCTGCACGAGCAATCCCGCGGCCTCCACGACCACCACCACCACGA